ACCGGGTATATCTGCACAAATTCGTTGAGCCGAGATATAAACAAAATTGCGAAAACACGATTTTTCGAATGCTTTTTTTAATAGACCGAAGGGTCAAATCCCCTCAAACCCAGTAAAAATCATTAGTAAATTCATTTTTAAGCATTTATAAACTTTATTTTGTTCAAATTAGTGCCTTATTAACGAAATAAATAAAAAATAAAAAATCCCTCAGTGTTCCATTTTCCCACCGTTCCATTTCGACGCTAACTCACCGACGCTAATTTGACGGACATAGCAAATGTCAATTTACATGCTTGGGGTAGAATTCTCGTTTTTGGGGTAGAATTCTCGTGTAGAATGTAGAGTGTTTTCCACCTAAAAAATCTCAGAGTTTAAATTTTCCACTAAAAAATCCACACCCAGAAAAGAGTAAAACGAGAAGTCTGGCATCGCTGGTCGCTCATGAACAAACAATCTGACGTTGCCAGATTGATTAGAGAAGGTTTTATAACCACGCATTAACCAGCGCTACCAGACCTGCGAAAATATACTAAACTGTTATACAACTTGCAAAATGCCGCGCTATTTGAATTCAAATGCAAAACCAGCTATCTAAAAGTGAGTTTTTATTCACAATTTATTTACAAATTTCAACAACAAACATAAAGCAGAACAATGTAATCCTACTCTCACATCAGTCTGCTCGGCGGCAGGAGGTGGGCCCTTGCCAGGCTGTCGCTGGCCGTCTCCGAGGAGTACATGCTCTTGAGGTAGCCCGGAAAGGGCGTGACCGCCTCAAAGTCCTCACCGGCAGAGTCCTCCGGCGGATCGACGGCCATGAAGGCTATGGCGAAGCCACGCAGGGAGTTGCTCTCGTCCGTGTGGAAGCGGAGCAACAAGGTGTCCGAGTTGGAAATGATTATTGGAGGCTTCCGCTTCCCACAGAAGCGTCCATGAATGGTGTTCATCGAGTAACCCTCCTCGGTGACCTCCAGGTAGTCAAAATCGCACGACTCTGAGTACTCGATTTCAAAGTGCAGGAAACGGATCTTGACACTGCTCTCGGGGTCCGCCTGGATGCGCCAGTCGCAGTACATGTTCCGTTTGTACGGCCTGCTCCCGTACCTTGGATGCGAGTAGAAGGTCTGCGAGTGATTCGTGGCCCTCAGGTAGCCGCCGCACTCGGAGACGAAGGTGGCCTTGAAGCCCCGCCGCTGTAGTCCCGCGTCCGAGGCCAAAACCATGAACATCTCGTTGGTGGAGGCGATCACGTCGTACGGCTCCCGACCGCCGCAGTAGATGCCGAGCGTGGAGCTGTTCTCCGAGCGGCCGTCGTAGATGGCCACGTAGTCGTAGATGCACTCCTGGTGGTTCTCCACGGCAAAGTCGTGGAAGGTCAGCTGGATGCGGTGGCCGAGGACGGTTTGGAAGTGCCAGTAGCAGTATATGTTGCGCGGGTAGTCCTCCGGATAGTTGGGGCTCTGCAGCACGCCATAAGAGCTGGTGATTTCGAACTTGCAACGTGTCTCCGTGCAGTTGTGGCCATTCTCGGCCAGGGTGTATCCATTACGGCAGCTGCACTGGTAGGAGCCAAAGGTATTCCGGCACCTATGCTGGCAGCCACCATTGTTGACCGAGCACTCGTCCTCATCTGAAGGAGAAACAAGAAGATTATCTCAGAAATTGTTTAGCTTCAAAGGTTATATCGCTTACCTATCACAAACTGGGCCACAAAGCCACTCCGCTGCACAGTCCTATCCGAGTGGAACTCCAGCCTTAGGACAGTCTGCTCCGAGTTAACCACCGGCGGCAGATCGTTGCCGCAGTAAATCCCAATCTTCTTCAACCGATTGTCCCTCAGCTTCGAGTAGATGATGAGATAATCATAATTGCACTTGGTGTACTGGAAACGTGTGCCCTCCAGATCAAAGTGGGTGAAATTCAGGAAGACTGCGTGGTTCGGCGGAGCCACCACCTCCCATACACACTGCTTGGCATTGGGATACATATCCGGATACGAGGGAGAGTATAAGGAACCATTTGACTTGGTGGCATCCACGACTCCGCCGCAGGCATTCTCGCAGGTCTTGCCATTGGCCTGCAGCTCGTAGCCGGCATGGCAGCCGCATTGGTAGCTTCCTAGAGTGTTGATGCACACGTGCTGGCAGCCATGATCCATGAACCGGCACTCGTCCACGTCAAGCAGGAGGGCGGCGGAGAAGCCCAGCTTTTGCACGGAACCATCGGAGACGAATCGGATGTACATCTGATGGCTGCGGGTTCTATTTAGGGAGCAAAAGATGGGATTAAAACTGGTGAAGTATTTGATATTCATGGACTTACTTTATATTGGGCGGCAACTTGTCTCCACAAAAGCGTCCAATCAGTCTGGAATCGCTGCTGTTACCATCCCGTATCTCCACAAAGTCGTAGGCACAGCCATCGCGCTTCTCCAGCTCAAAGCTTTGGAATTTCAAAGCCACCTGGTGGTTCTCCGGAGCCGTGATGCGCCACACGCACTCCTTGTCGGGCATGTAGTCCATGGGATAGTTGGGAGAGTCTATGGATTGATCCCTGGTTAAGAGGATGTCTCCGCCGCAGACAACTAAGAAATAAAGAAAAAATAAAAAAATTAAATCCTTGGACTGCAAGCTTCCTTAAAAACCAAACTCACCCTCAAATCTCGCCTTGAACCCTCGATAACCTTTGGCTGCATTCCGGTTTACATAATTGAGGAGCATGCGACTTGTCTGGGTCTGGATGACCTCACCGCTGACATTGCCGCAGAGGCGTCGCACCAGCGGCGAACGGTGCCAGTAGCCATCCCTGATCTCCAGGTAATCCTGCGAGCAGTCGTCGGAGCTCATCAGCTGCAGCTGCTGCAGATGCAGGATGACCTTCTCACCGTTCGTGGCCGTGATGCGCCACTCGCAGTTGGTTAGCGAGGCATCGAATTCAGACTCCTCTCCTGCCTCGCCAGCATCGCCACTGCCCTCAAACTCGCTGAGCACTCCATTGCCGGAGTAGACAAAGTGAGGGCCCACTATTAATCCAGAATTCTGCTGGTAGGTCCGCCCGCAGGCGGCGCACTTGTAGAGCAAGTTGGCCTGGACAATGTCACCCTCACTGAGGCGCCTTCGCTGACCCAGCTCCACGTGGGTTCCCTGCGGAATTCCAATGGGCGTGATGGTGTCCAGGTAGGAGCTCTTGGAGAAGGAGTTCTTGGCATAGTGCATTATGGAGTTGTAGTCGTAGGGCAGCAGGGGCAGGTCCACCTCTTCGGGCGACAGGACATCGAAGTTGTACTCCTGGCCCCTCATAATATTGGCCTTGTTGATGATGATGTGCTTGTCCCTGTCGCCGCGGGCATGCTCATGGTGGAAGCCAATGGTGTGGCCCAGTTCGTGGATGATAATGCCAAACTTTTCGCAATTGCGTCCTATGGAGATGGGCTGGCGACCGTTGCCGTGCTTGCCCAGAAAGGAGCAGCAACTGGGGGAAAGGGAAATCCAGGTATAAGATATACATTTCTGGACAGGATTTGGCATACACTCACCCGCAATTCTTGACTGTGAAATAAATATAGTTGGCATGCAGCTTGGCATCCCTTTCCACGAACTTAATGCAGGTAAAGTTCTCCCAGTGGCGCATAGCCTGCTTGAAGAGCGCCTTGTGGGCGCCACTAAAGATGCTGTCGATCTCGTAGGGTATGACCCCATAGTCCCAGGTGCGGTCCTTTCGCACGGTAACACCTCGTCGTTTTCGTATGGGCTTCCTTTCTGGCATAATTTCTTGCCAATGCGAGTGACTGGGCTGCAGCACATCCACTGCGGCATCTGTCCACAGCAGCGGCGGAGGCAATCTCAGCTTCCCTTTGTTTCGTGACTTGTGAAGCCTTTGCTTCCGGCGTCTCCTGGTGAGTGGACAAAAAGGCTTATGAGCTCAGGTATGGCTGAAGTGGACGCCTCTACTAATTGGGCACTATTGTGCGGGAGGAGCTAATCCCTTTGGAGCTTTGTAGGGAGATGACTTACCCCAGCGATTGTTTCGCTCGGCTGCTCTGGAACACCTTTGGTTTCGGTTGATAGATGACCTCTAGCTCCTTCTGCGGCACCTGTTTGGGGTTTTAAGCTGCATTTAAAATCTTCTGGCCACATGATGATGCCTCCACTCACCTGTATGGCATCCAGCATGCCATAGAAATCCTCTGGCTGCTCCTTAAAGTCAAAGTCGCATTCACCCTCGCTCTCCTTGTCCGACAGCTGACTCAGTCGCCTGCCCTGGGCCAAATCCATGTGAGAAATCGCCACCAGAGCGGCGGCCACAGTGAGCACAACAAATTTCGCTTTCGTTTCCATGGAGAGACGGCACAGGCACATTCTTTCGGTCTCGCAGGTATTCTTCTTTTCGTTTTCCTTCTGGGGGCTCGTTCCTCGAAGTTGCCTCGACCAGTTCAAAGTTCTAACTGAGAGCCAGCGGCCGGCGTTTGCCGAATTATACCGATGAGACGAGACAAGGGTTCGCGCGCTCCATGGATGAGGCAGGTAAGAGGCTCAGCCTGGCCAGGGCAGAGGAAGCGAGGAGGAGGAGCGGCAGGCAGCAACTCGCGATCGCAGCTACAGAATCTACAGAATCTCGACTGGCATGTCCGCTTCGCGGGGAAGGGAAAGAGACAAACAACGATACTAGTCCGTGTCCATTGTCTGCCTGTTGTTAGCATTCAATGGGTTTTGATTTGGGTATCCCTGCACCTTGACATTGTCTCCTTTCGAACGAGGTTTCCATCTGTCTACAGGCCTACCTGTGGCCGTCGCTTTTGCGGGCTCAGGCAGCCCAGGATCAGGTGTTGGGCTCTCGAACCTTTTAGGGCAGGTCATTAACGATCATAAATCCCCCGCATGAACGAACGATTTCGTGGTAATTCCGCCTCTTAAGGCTATTCAAGAGCCGGGCTGGCGCTAGGCAAGGTGGAAACAGAGCCATAAAACCCAGGAGTCCCAGAAATAACGCTTAGCCACTTTGGTTTTAAAACATAGTTACTATGCAAGTTTTAATAGTATGTATTTATAGATTTAATTACGTATTAAGTTGAGTCAAATATCCGAGAGTTGTACATATAATGTGTGTGTGTGTGTGTGTGAGTGTGCAGGGATACCACGATCAAGCCCAAGGAACCCCTGTTGTGTGGATATGTCTCTAGCTCTAGCCTAGCTTCCGTTATCGACTTATGCTAAGATGCTTAACGGAAATACAAAATGCGCTGGTCCATCGAATATGGCACAATAAAAATATATATAGTGTGGAAATCGAGGGGAAGGAAAGAAATGCTATAGAAATGCAGGAGATGCACATTTAGCTACAGAATCTAAAAGGAGAGTCTAGTCTAATCGAAAGTACATTACATGTATCCAATAGGTCTAAGTAATTGCCACCGCAGATCCCCGGGCGTTGAGTGAATTCAAGAAATTGAATGCCTAAAAACTAATATTGATTCGAGGTCCTTTGATTATGTCCTCGAGTGCGTGGAAGAGCGAGAGAAAATCTGCTTTATTTACGCGACGATATGCCTAAATCTGTTAAATAAATTCCGTTTTTTTATATATTGTCATGAATTTTAGCGCGTTCTCAGCGTTTCTTTATGCATTGCCAGCATAGTACCGATTTGGCAGACTATATCTTCCCCGATACTGCCCGTTGAGGACCAACTGATTCCCACTGAAGTCGCCGTACTCGTCAGTCTCTTCGGTATCCTCGATGTACATGCTCTTGAGAGAGCCTGGAAAGGGGGTGGCCATCTCAGAGCTGTAAGAGTTCTCCACATCCTCCTCGTCGCTGTTGTCAAAGGGATCCACGGCCACGTAGGAGGCGGAGAAGCCCTTCATGGGCACAGAGCCATCTGTTTTGAAGCGGACTAAAAGGGAGTTTGTCATGGAGATGATGTCCTGGGGCAGCTATAGATATTAAGAATATTATAAATTAATAAAATATATTTTATTTGACTTTGATTTAGGAAGAGGAGAAGACTCTTACCACATTTCCACAGTACTGCCCATACATGGGGCCACTGGTGTCCTCCATGTTGGAGAACACCTGCACATAATCGTAGGTGCAGTTTTCGCTGCTCTCAATGTCAAAGGTGAGGAATATGAGCTGGACATTGCTGTTCTGCGGCGCCTCGATAGTCCACTCGCAGTCCATGCTGTCGTCATAGTCCTGGTTGCCAAAGCGGGCGTGAGAGTAGAACTGTTGGACATTGCTGGTGGCGCGCAGGAAACCACCACAGGCTGCAAGGAACGCGAAATCAGTGTTTCCCATATCCGATTACCTGGCTTCCCCCCACTACTCACAGGTCGAGTGCATGGCCATAAATCCGTTGAGCTGCTTGTTCTTGTCCGTCTTCAGAACCATGTACATCTGGTTGGTGGTGGAGGATATGGGAAAGGGAATTTTGTCGCCGCAGAAGCGACCCAAAACGGAGCTGGAATCGGATTCGCCATCATAAATGGCCACATTGTCATAGGTGCATTCCTGGAAGGGGAAAATTCTAGATTCAACAAAAGTTTTCTTAGATTTTTGTTTCGAAATTCCTCACCTGATGCGACTCCACATTGAACTCGTTGAATATCAGCTTGATGCGGTGTCCAGGGGTGGTGATGAAATGCCACACGCAGTCCGCATTTGGTGGATACGAATCCGGGTAGTTGGGACTGTAGATGGTGCCAAAGGCAGCAGAGATCTCGTACTTGCACTCGCCCTCCTTGCAGTCATGCCCATTCTCATGCAAAGAGTAACCATTGTGGCACAAACAGATATACGAACCGATCGTGTTCCGGCACTCGTGCTGGCAGCCGCCATTGTTCATGGCGCACTCGTCAATGTCCGTGAAAAAGACGGCCGCAAACCCTGAGCGTTGGATAGACTTGTCCGAATGGAACTCCACCCGCAGGGCATTGCTTTCAGAGGTAGCAGTGGGAGGAATAGCGCTGCCGCAGAACGTTCCAATCCGTTTAAGCCGACTCTCGCCCAGCTTGGAGTAAATGGTGACCGAATCATAGCCGCAGTCCGACTGCTGATGCGCCGTGCCCTCCAAATCAAAGTGGGTGAAATTTAGCGATATCTTGTGCATGGGTGGGGCCACAATCTCCCAGATGCACTCCTTCATCAGAGGATACATTTCAGGAAACGAAGGCGAGGTGATGGTGCCATTTGGATACTCGATAACGCCGCCACAGGCATCTGCAAAGGGAAGAGGGATATACAGGGGGTCACTCTTTAGAGGAGTGCGAGGATTGCCCACCTTCGCAGTGCTTCTTGTCGCTGTGCAGTTCATAGCCAATGTGGCAGCTGCACTCATAGCCGCCCAGCGTGTTAATGCACTCGTGCTCGCAGCCATGGTTCTGGGTCTCGCACTCGTCCACCTCCTTCATGAACACGGCCGAGAAGCCCGCCTTCTGAACCGATGTGTCCGACACGAATTTCACGTACATTGAATGGCCACCTGACCTGAAAAGGGGACGACGAACAAAGCGAAATTTGAAATGGGGGAATGGCCACGACTAAGGACTCTCCACTCACTTCATGTTCGGTGGCGGCTTGTAGCCACAGAAAACGCCAATTAGCGGGGAATCCGGGTCGGGACCATCGCGCACCTCAACGTAGTCATAGACACAGCTGTCGTGGTTCTCCACTTCGAAGGATTGGAATTTCAGTGCCACCTGGTAGCCCTTGGGCACGGTTATTTTCCACACGCATTCCTTGTTGGGCAGATAGTCCAGCGGGTAGTTGGGTGACTCCAAACGACCCACGGCATCGTCCACGGACAGCTCTCCGCCGCAGACAACTGTGGGAAATGGAATGTCATGAACTCGGCCAACGATGACCCTTTATTTTTTCCTGGGCTCACCATCGAACTCCGCCTTGAAGCCGCGGTAACCCTCGCTGCGATGCGAATTGACGTAGGTGAGGAGCATGCGACTGGACTCCGTGCGGATCTCTTCGTTGGCCACCTTGCCGCAGAAGCGCCCAATGAGGGGGGACTTTTCAAAATAACCGTCGCGGATCTCTAGATAGTCGGTCTCGCAGTTGTTTGACTTAAAGATGTTCTGAAAGATGAAATAAGGATTAGGATTAAGTAAAAAAGTTACCTTTTCCCTCTGTTTTCTCTAAGAGGAACCTACCATACTCTCCAGCTTTAGGACCACTCGTTCCCCGTAGGTGGCCGTTATCCGCCACTCGCAGTGCTCTGTCTCGTCGGTCAGGGCTCCGGCTGTGTAGTAGGAGGGCGAGGCAAAGATCCCTGTGCTCTCCTGGAAAGTGCGTCCGCACTTGGGGCACTTGTACAGCAAATTGGCCTGGGCAATGTCACCCTGACTGAGCCTCAAACGCTGGCCAATCTCCGGACGCTTGCGGCCTTTCATCTCGATGGGTAAGATGGTGTCCAGGTAGGTGCCTTTGGAGAAGGTGTTTCTAGCATAGTGCATGATGGAATCATAGTCATAGGCCATGCCCAATGAATCCACCTCATCGGGGGAGAGCATATTGAAGTTATAGTCCTGACCCTTCATAATATTATTGTGCTCGATAACCACATGCTTCTCCCGATCAGGACGCGTGTGCTCGTGCCAGAAGCCCACCACATGGCCAAGTTCGTGGACCACAATACCAAACTTGTCGCAGTTACGGCCTATGGAGATGGCCTGGGGGCCATTGCCGCGCTTGCCCACAAAAGAGCAGCAACTAGCAAGGAGAAATAAAAACAGAAAAATGTAAAAAAAGTTTATTCTCGAGAACAAAAATGCGAGATCCTATTACTTACCCGCAGCTGCGCACGGTAAAGACTATGTAATTGGGATGAATCTCCGGATTCCGCTCCACGAACTTAATGCAGGTGGAGTTCTCCCAGTGACGCATGGCCTGCTTGAAGAGAGCCTTGTGCATTCCACTGAAATTGCCATCGATCTCGTAGGGAATAACGCCGTAATCCCAAATTCGTTCCTTTTTCGCGGTGACAGCGCGTGCTACTCGATGGCGTTGCTGCTCCTTCTCCTTCTCTTCGGCCTCCTGCTCGTGGTGAGTGCTGGTGAGGAAGGGTAGCCTTGTTAGTTATGGATGATTCGTGGGATGCTGCGAAAACTTTCCACGTGGCGTATGCGTAATTTTAATTGCCAACAGTTTTCCATACATTTTTCAGTGTTGTTGTTCGGCACAACTTTTGGCACGCGAATTTCTATTAAAATTCATAACTTTTAACACAGACACACACAGCCACAGTAAGCCGTACAATGAGCTCTCTCTTTGTGTGTGTGTGTGTGTGTGAATGGGTCTGTGGGAGTTGCCAAAATGGCTGCTGTTTGTTTAAAGTTTATGCCGAAAAAAGCTCGCAATGAAAATGGCCGGCAATTTACAGTGGGCCAGGAAATGGCAACGGAAACGGATGTGGTGGAGGCGGTGGCCCACCACCAACAAGGCAAGGACACAGCCTAGGACTAGCGTACTTACTCCGCTTTTTCCATTTCCAAATCCATTTCAGGCGTAGATTGATTGAATCCCGGCGGGGAATGGTTCACATACTGCGTGGTGCCCTGACCACGCCGCCGGTGCTGGCGATGCGCCCGGTGCTTTTTGCGGGGAGTGTTCTGATGGCCGTGGTGGTGCAGTTGCTCCTGCTGCTGATGGTGCTTATTGTGCTCGCCGTGGTGGTGTCTCTCGCCCACTGGCCGGCTAAGCTCTTCCCGCAATCGTTGCAGCTTGGCCTCATGCTCCGTGTGCTGGTTGCTCCTTCTATAAGAAGAAATATGGATTCCTATAAAAACCGAGAGGAGTTCAGCTATCCTGCCCACTCACCGGTGCTTGGGCCCTCGCCTGTGCCGCCTACGCACTACCCCGCGCGAGTGCAGGAAATCCACCTCGTCATCCAGCTGCATCCCATTGCCTCCGGCATTGCTGTAGACATTGGGCAGCGTGGAGCGTTGCTCGGGCAGCGAGGTGGGCAGGATGTGTGACTGCCGGCGTTCCGCCACAAAGTTGTTGCCGGAATCATCCTCGATGTCCTTGTTGTCCGACTGAATCTTGCGCGTGTCCACATTGCGATGCAATGTCTGCATTGTCTTGTTGCCCGACTTAGAGGCGACCTCGGCCAGGACAAGTCTGGCTGGCTTGGCCGCCAAATTGCGTCGCTCGAACAGAGGCAGCACCTCGTTCTTATAGCTGGGCTGTTGGGCGTAATCCGAGGGAGATTGGGAGCTAGGCTTAACCGGTTCATTGGCACTCTGTGGGTTTAAGAGAAGAGTTCCTTCATATAACTTGACTTTCATTCTAGTTCACCTCACTCACCTGACTCTGCAATTGGGCCTGTCCGGCTGTCAAGTTCACCGGAACCGTGCTCGGCAGCTTCGTCTTTTTGCGGATGATGTCGGTGAGGCCCTCCTCCTCCACCTGCAGTCCCTCGTGGTAGACCTCTTGCTTAAGCTTCTCCAGATCCAGCTGGAAGGTGGCATTGAACTTGACCGGGCCAGGGCTTCGAGCGGAAACGGATGCGGGGTCGCTGCCACTGATGTCTGGCGCATCAGCCAACAACTCTTCAACCTCCTGCCGCTCTTGCTCCTCATCGTCCACGGGCGTGTGGGCCACCACCGGTGGGCCAGAATCGCCGTCGGGCAGGGCAATGTCGCCCATGAAGCCGCCTGTAAGGACAAAGATAAACCGATTTAAATTAGGGGCATTATCGCGGCCAGAGGGCTGGGTTCTACCATAACTTACAAATTGTTTTTAATTATAAGCGACAGGGCGAAAAGCGTATAAATTTTTATTTTAATTGAAATTTCATGTGGCTTACGCAGACAGTTCGTTGGGTTCGTTGGTTAGCCGGGAGGCAGGCAGGCTGGCCAATGCTCCCCGCTGGTAATTTATAATTCGCACTCCGGACAGCAGAGGCACCGTCCGGATATAAAGTCGTGGCGCTCTGACAGTTATTTCGCCGGGCGGTTGGATAGACACACTCTGCATATCCATTTAATCAGTGCATCAGCGGACAGCTGGGCAGCTGATGCTTTTGTTTGCCCTTGCTCCATGCGGCGTATACGCAATGTGGATGCCAGAGCAGGGAGCGGCTGTCTGTCCGTGTTTGTGTCTGTGCTCATGGCCCACATGTGGCCACTGGCCAGTGAAAACAGTAAAAACAGCAGCAACAACGATAACAGTTAACAAGCAAAATATGAAATTGTTGCCCTGTCTGCCTCAGACATGTTAAACAAAATTAATTAAGTGCGTTTGCACACTGCACAAAATCAAAAGAAAAAAGGAAGGAAAGGAAAGAAAGGTAGCTACAGAAAGCTTTTATTAGGGTAAAAAATCTGCGTACTGAATTTAATATTTTTTTTTTTTAAATGTTTGTCAATTTCTCCAAATTTTTGACCCCTTCTTTAATGCTTTTCAAGCTTCTGACTAAAATGTTAATACCCTGCATGGGTATAAAAAACGAGAATTAAAAATAAAGAACCAGAGCGAAGTCTGCAGACTCTTTATTATGCCATGCTTAGTATATACTCAAACTGGATCATTTAAAACTATCTACGGATCTTCTTCTTTAACATCAATCTTTATTTTTCACATCAAAACATTTCCGGAGCGCAAACAAGCTCCCTCCTCGTCCGGATAGAGCAATTCATTTGCCTATAAAGACTGTCTGAGTGGTGCTGCTGCTCCTGAAATGCTCCTCCTGGTTGGCTGGCTGCCTGCTCGGAGAGCTGAGCTTAATTCAAACATAAATAAAATAAAATTGCATTCATGCTATTTACACGGCTGGCACAGTGAAGCCTGTTAATGTTAACGCCTTTTGACTTCTGAAGGCCGCTCATCGTGGCCCACATTCCATTTCTGGTTTCCCTTCGACCCTAGCTTTCGCTCTGTGCCTTCCCTTTCGTGTCCATCTACCCCCTCCTCCTTTTCACCTGCCTAATGTCCATCTCAGGAAACAACTCCGACTTGAACTCCGATGTGCAAATGCAAAAACGGCAGCTGGCAATTTGGTTATTACAACTGGAGCGGCAAAACCAATCATCCTTTGAGTCTCAACTGTGCTAACTGACTGGGAAGTGGGTCAGTCCAAGCGGGAGCTCAAACTTGAGCTCTCCTATATCCATATGCTACCTACGCAGGCTAGCCGAGTCGGACACGTATCCCTCGGGGCAATAAAAAAAGTGTCATATGGACATGGAAGGTAATTAAAGTGTGAAAATAGAAGGGGATTGCAAGGACTATTTGGGGGGAAGTCCTTCATGGCAGGTGCCTTTAAAAATCATTAAGGCTAAGGTAATTTAATTAGGAAACTTAATAAATTAATAACTAACTGTTCATAGAAGTTACAAGATGCACATTTAAATTTTCTTGTTGAAACTAGGAATTTATTTAAGTAAAATTCAAGGAATTTTCTTGACTAGTCTGCTAGCCTTTTAGAGTATTTGAAGGACTTTCAATTAAAAGTCTTTCTACATAAAATAGTTTTGTTTCTTATACTTTAAGAAAATGATTTGCTAATTGCTCAAAACGAGTAAACAAACTTGTAATTAACAATTACAATTGAAGAGCCTTAAATACATAAAATTGTATTAAACAGAAGTAGCTGCCTAATTGCTGCTTAATTTCTCAAACGAACTAAAGCACTTTAAGATGCTTGAAATTATTTCTTTAGCTTTCCAAAAGGAACAAGAATACAAAATTAAAGTCAAAAGCTTGCCAAGGATCAGTGTCATTTATATGTGAAGTGCTCACTGTACTGCCAAAACAGCAGCTGAGCAGTGTGCATTTTCCTTGGTTTTTGTTACTCTCGCTTTCGGTTTTTGCGTGTTGTTTTGGCCAAAATTGCAAATTACATATTTATCAAGCTGCAAACGTTTTTTGATTTAGTTTCCGAAAATGCAGCAGAGCATGGAGCGAGGGAAAAAACCAAGCCAGCCTCACCACAGCAAAACAGAGCAGTGCAGAGCAAAGCAGACCAAACCGCACAGTTTGTTTTGCCGGACTCCAATCAATGTCAATCATACGCACCGTAACCGAACTGAGGTCGCCTGGCTGCGGTCCACACACACACACAGGAGCGAGCGACAAACAGGAGTCTGCAGGAAATCAACTATCGAAGGCGACCCGAAACGCCCACTAAATAATAGACCTCTCGCCCTGTTTCCTTTAGAGATCGAAATTCATTTGGATCGGAATTCCCTCTAGTAAACATTTTTAACGAGACTGAAATATAAATCAAGCAAGTTCGCTAGACAACTCACCTATCTCTCGGTTGACATGCTGAAAAAATATGTGAATTAAATTACACGTCATCTAGATGCACCTCTATCCGGCATCTCCTCATTCCCTACGCTGTCAGGGCCATTGTTTTTGCTGCAATTGCATCGTGTTGACTTTGAAAACATATCGTATTTACATTTGATTTAACAGCCAAACAAATTTCTAGAATTGCGCAAATATTTACATACGCAATCTGAAAATCTCTGAACGGGGCGGCGAACACGTGTGCGGCGGACGCTGTGTTGTGGATTAAAAATATATGCGATGCCCCGTGCATGCTGTACATGAAATTTAAATTTCAATATACATTTTAAGCACAAAGCACAGCAGGGCTCGTGCACGCCCCACATGGCGGATGATTGATTTGGATGCGATGCCAGCTCTGTTAGGGCCAAGTTGAAGAGGGAGATTTGAAAGTGGAAAGTGGAAAGCGGAAGGAGCAGCGAAATTGAAACTAAAACCGTAGGAAGCAAAACACGTTCCCAGTTGGCATTTAATCCCGTTAACGTTTGCCAGCCCCAAGGAGGCACTGCCAACGAGGATGCTGCAATTGTGGGAGCAATAAAAAGACGTTGCACACAGTAGGCGAGAAAACTTGCCGCATAATGCGTCACAAGCCAAGGAGCAGTGGTGCTAACAGCCCGGCTAACGGGTCACAATCCGGCGCTGGAATGGAAACGGTAACGGAAGCCATCCAATGTGCGTAGCACAAACAGTTCCCAACGCAAGTCCGTCTGCAATTTCATTACATTTACGTTAAATGCCTTTGGCCGTCCCGTCCAGTCAGAGTCTGACTGTCTGTGTGTCTGACTGGCAGACAAACAGTTCGCACAAGTGAAAGTAATTAAATTTTTGAGCCTCGCCTTGTCCGCCCTCGCATCCTTCGCCTGTCCACCCTCGGCCTGCTCCTGTTCCTGGTCCTGTCTCACATCATTCACACTAACGAACCGACGCACAAAACGTGCCGTTTTAGAGGGGCTTCTGGGTACTTCCCTCATCCTGGGGTACGCGTCCAGTTTAGAGTACCCTTTTATGGCGGCCACAAAAATGTTTAACACATTCGTTGGGGCCTGGAGCAGCTTCCTCTAAATACCGAATACAACATGGCGTATGCGTAATGTGGCAACAAGGGCTGCCACGGCTGCTGCTACAGTCCGCTTTATGAGCATCGTCCCTGTGTCGACTGTGAGTTTAATTAAAAATAAAACCCTCCATCTCTGCCTCGGCTCGGGTCCATCTGATTACTCGCTCTGGGCCACGCTCTCGATACGTGCGAAGCAGGAGCAGCAGGAAAAGTGGCAGCAACAACAACGCTACTAGTTGCCGCACTTAACGCATCAGTAGTGGTCCGTCCATCCATTTTGTGGGTCAAAAGCAAATAATTGAAGAGCGTTCGCTGAGCTGCCAACTGATTGCCATTGTTGAGGTCAGCTACGCTTCCATTTTACCTTTTTTTTTCTACTTTATTCCGCCCCGCCGTTTGGGGTCCTCGTTTTTGGTGTTATTTATGGCCTTTGTGTGTTCTTAGGCGGATGTCAATACTCCGCTGGCGGGCTGTCTGTGTCATAAAACAAAAAAGCACAAGTGCTGCGAGTGTGTGTATAAAACACAAGCAATTAAACGGCACACAAATGCCGCAGGCTCAAAAAGGATTCAGTACGAGCTTAAAAAATGCTAATTGGTCCACACTTTTTGGGTGTCGCTAAGAGTGCTTTAGGAATATACTCGTTTGTTTTGGAAATTCAATGTCTCATAGCCTAAAAAAAAATTTTCAATGGGAAAAAATGTTAAAGTTATATCAAAACCATTTAAAAATATTTCATATACGTTTTTTCAAGATTCCCTATAACATTATTTTACAACTAAATTTTTATACCCTTGCAGGGTATTATAATTTCAGTCAGAAGTTTGCAACGCGGTGAAGGAGACGTTTTCGACCCTATAAAGTATATATATTCTTGATCAGCATCAACAGCCGAGTCGATCTAGCCATGTCCGTCTGTCCGTCTGTCCGTCCGTCTGTCCGTCTGTCCGTCTGTCCGTCCGTCTGTCCGTTTCTACGCAAACTAGTCCCTCAGTTTTAAAGCTATCTGAATGAAACTTTGCATATAGTCTTCTATATGCTCTCACTGCTATATATGTCGGAACGGGCCGGATCGGACGACTATATCATATAGCTGCCATACAAATGTTCGATATATTTTTAGAAAAAAAATTATAACTTTGCTGTTTTTCAACATTTTTACACCATTTTTTAGATATGACCATTTTATATTATTTTAGAATTTTGGTAAAAATTTTATGAAAATCGGACGACTATATCATATAGCTGCCATAGGAACGATCGGGAAATTAATAGAAAAAAATTATAGATTCGTTGTTTTTC